CAAATTCTAAACCCATTTTGTATAAATTCCAACATTAATGTGCGAATTTGATAAAAAAAAGTACCTTCCTTGTCTTGAATTTTGGCTTTGACATTGTCTATGGTGTCACTGGATTCGACCTCAAGGGTTATGGTTTTCCCCGTTAGAGTTTTCACGAAGATCTGCATTTTCGTCTCTCGGCGACCGTCCTTATTTTCTGATGGGAAATGGTAGAATTGCGAGTCCCGGGTACTTATGTGATCAAGCTCAGAATTAGGGTTTTTAGTGTGAGATTGGGCTAATGGGCCTGTTTTGAGGAATGTGGACCTTTACTGGTCCAATTTCCAGGTTTTGACTTCTGAGAAGGCTCGGTATTTGGTTAGGAAAACGAATAAATACTTGAGCACTAAGGAAATTTCTTCAAAACTCGAGAATACAAAAATAGACTTTTGAATATGAAAGAAAAAATGTTTTAATATTTCTTGTGGAATGGAATTTGATCTCAAGTGGGTTTTAATGTGTTTTTTATTGGTCATTAATCATCTATTTACAGATGTCAATTAATGTTACACGAAATGGTGCCAAAACATGATGAAAAGAGACAGTTTTTCATTCAAAATAACACCAAGTTTCAAGTTGAAAAACCAGCCAATGCCTTGTTTCTAACCCCATGCGTACGCATAGCAAGCAAAAATGCTTCTACGTACACATGGGCAAAAATCTCAAAAATTTCAATTTTATTGATTTTGAACAACAATTTCAACATATTATGATCACGTTGTTTTTTCTTTTTTTTTTTTTTTATCTAGAATTGATTATGGAACACTTCATTGGTAAAAATTGAGAGAGAGGTCTGAACTAACTTATTACCGAAATAATATAGATTGGAGACAAATTGTTCAATTATGAAAACATCTTTATCATGTAGTAGAGAGGCAACCAATAAAACGGAATGAAGAGGAAACAATTAATCGATTGGAGACTAATCGCATAGATTTCCCAACTTTATCGCGTGGAGACACTACCATTAAACAAAATGGGGCTCAAAATTTTGGTATACAGTATTGTACACGATTATACAGTATAATGAATGATATGTTAATTTCATTAGTAATGTAATGTTATTTTACTTCCATTAGGGATGATCACGACATGATACTGCATTAAATGATAAGATCCAAGTGGATCGCATTTTCATACATTCAGTTGATTTTATCATTTCCCGTCACATGTCATATGGATTAATGACAATTTTCAACGAAAATAAATAAAATTGTTTTTTTTCTTTTAATATTGTCTCGTCTAGTTACCTTACAAAACACGTCATCGATGTATTGAAAACCCTGAAAAGTAGTAGTATATTATTTTTGTTTATGTTTTGTCAATTTCAACAGATTTGGTCCACGATTTTTCTTATGTGAACGGTCAAAAAATTATTTGAAATAGATTTCTTGTTTTTGTTTCTAAACCTGTATTAACCATACATTAATATCCAATTTTTCAAGACATGGACTCTTCACAATAGTGGGAACACCAAGGACTATCAAAACGTACAAATATTTCTTGAACATGTTTTTCGAGTCAATGATGAAGCCTAACTATAGAATCATTAGGAAATTCTTTAGCCTTCAAACCTCGATCACCTCTTAAAATTTGTGGACTAAGGGCCTGTTTGAGCCACCTTATTGTAGAATGAGAACGAAAAATATAGTCGTAATTGGGGCCCATACAAGAGATAGAAATTTAAAATTGATGGCTTGAAGTGATGGATAATGGTCATATTTTTCATTTTTATTGATGAAAAATAAGAAATTCATTTTAATAAGATAAAAAGGTGGCCCAAACGGATTGTAAGTCTACCAACTGTCCAACCCCATGATGGTAAAAATCTTTTGACCATGATACATGTGAATTTTCGAAGTTCATAGAGAAATAGGATAATCATCCTATGCTTGGTTTATGTTTATAAACTGTTTATATACATTCAAATTTATTTTTATGAATACATTTGGGGGGAGGGGGGGGGTCCATCAATATTATCAACTTATTCATCACTTATTTTTATTAAATTTAGAAGCATTTAAAACCATTTTCCAAACATGCTCTTAACTGTAGGTGCTAGATCATGTAAACTTCACCAAACCCTATTGCTCACTCCCTATGAATATTAATGACCTCCGAATCCAGTGAGACACGCCCATTAATAAATCTCAGCTCCTTGTTCATATGTACCTGCACAATTAGACAGACATGTTAGACTCCACATACCATAACTTTGGTGAGTGCAACAGTTGTGTACACTTCGACGCTCAATTCAGATTATAAAGTATATTGGATATGGGAAAGACATAATCAATGAAAAATATGGGTGTTGAGTTTTAGATTATGAACTTGTCTGGCCAAGCTTTTCCTGGGATTAAAATGAGAAAACAGAACGTTGCGTGAGAGAGTGGAAGTCAAAAAGTGCGGCCCAACGGTAGGATTTCTGATGAAAATTCAGCCAAAAAGCTTGGCCAGACAGGTTCTATACTTACTTTTGAATGGGAGAGGATCAAATATTTATATGTGGTGCAGTAGAGGAGACCTCTCTAGATGTTTGACACGTGACATCATCATAATAGCTCATTTTTCATGTTTAATTTTGCCGATTCATAGTCATCATGGCATGTCATACCCTGAATATAAGTTAAAAATTTGTGAGTTAATTGGGAATAATCGCTTTAGAGTTGTCACATCGATTACTTTATGCAGTGTACTATTTGTTCAACATGGTCGATGAGAGGCTTGTAGCAAAAGTCCATTGTCTTGGATATATGCTACAAAGGAGATGTGATGCATTGTCTTGGATAAGAATAATATTCTAAGCGAGACATGTGAAGGCATTGCATAGTTGCTTCGCAAAGAAGCATGTGAAATAGACAATGTGAAATGGAGTGCTAACTTTACTTAGCACTTCGCTCAACTGATTGTCACCTGATTTGTCATCTAAGGAGAGGCGTAATAATACAAAGTCAAGAGACAATCCGAGCGTGAGCTAAACAAAGTTAATTTTCGTGGTTTTTAACTTTAACTTAAAATTTTAGACGCGGAAAGAGAACTGTGTGTCAACATAATGTAACAACAATTATGGTTACAACTTGCAACATGAGTAGATCACACTTCACAATCTCACTTTCACACTTTCTAAACTTTAAAGACATAGACATCCATGGGGTAAACGGTCATTCAACCTGGCTATTTCAGACAGCATGGGGTGGGACATGGATGGGACATGGATCTCACTCACAAGCTTGAAATGTCCCAAAAGGTCCTCTCCTTTAAAGAAAAATCAGTATTTCCGTATATTTCGAAATATTATTTGGCATAATCAGGACTTCTTTAAGCAAAAGCAAGTTTTCCCCGGGCATTTCGCCTGAAATTATGACCTAAAACGCTGTTTGTTAATTGACAGGAATTCGCTTCTCTATTGTTTTGCCCATTTGTAGCTTTTGAGACACACTGTTGTTTGGCCCGCAAACTTTGCCCAATGAAATTTTTAATTAAGACTACATAGTACCCATTTTGAAGCTCCAAAGAATTAAAATTTATGTCTCTGAACAAATATTAATGTTTGCATTTATATAGTGATTGATGCTGGCCTTGTCTGGTTTGGCTATCTTTTTCAGTCTTTAACCAACCACCTTACTTACTCCAACTAGTCCAAGTTTAGTTTTAATAATATCAGAGAAAAGAGAGCAGCATTTTATTTTTTTCCTTCTTCTCGATTTGAAATTTGGAAAATGAACCAAGAAATGAATGGAGGTGAGTTGGAAAATCATCAAGAAAAGGTTGACTACGTGTTCAAAGTGGTGGTGATTGGCGACTCAGCTGTGGGCAAGACTCAGTTACTGTCCAGGTTTGCAAGAAACGAGTTCTGCTTAGACTCAAAATCCACCATTGGGGTTGAATTTCAGACCAGAACTGTCACCATTAAATCCAAAGTCGTTAAAGCCCAGATCTGGGACACTGCCGGCCAGGAAAGGTAAAGACTTCCCCTCTTTCGGTCTTGAACTATTAGTTTTTGTTTTCCTGCAGAAAATTCGGGCTTTATCCCAATTTATAGGCAGCAATCAGGATCTCAAAATTTGAATCTTAAACTGTTGAACACGTTTGTTTATATAAATTTATCTTCAACCATGTTAAATCACGATCGTCTATAAGTTTAAGCTTTGTATAATAGTTGTGATTTGCAGAATAATTCTGGTTGGTATTTTAACTCAGGTACAGGGCAGTAACAAGTGCTTATTACAGAGGTGCTCTAGGGGCTATGTTAGTGTACGACACTACCAAAAGACAGAGTTTTGATCATGTAGCTAGATGGGTTGAGGAACTGAGGGGACATGCTGATAATTCAATTGTGATCATGTTAATTGGGAACAAAGCTGATCTTGTGGATTTGAGGGCTGTGCCAACTGAGGATGCCGTAGAGTTTGCAGAAAACCAAGGTCTTTTTTTCTTCGAGACATCAGCCCTCAATGGTGACAATGTAGAACCTGCATTCTTTAAACTGCTCGAGGAAATTCACAATGTGGTTTCGAGGAAGACATTGGATTACAGCAATGGAAATGCGAACGAGAATAACGGAGGACTGCTTAAAGGTTTGAAAATCGACTTAAAATCTGGTGCAGATTTTGAAGTTAGTGAAATCAAGAAATTGTCTACATGCTCTTGCTAATTATCTTTAGTTGGTCAAAAAACATTTGAGAATGTTCCAATTTAGTTCCGTAGTAGAAGAAAAAAAAGGTTGCTTGAAATGAATTTTCATTTTCTGTACCTTCGTAAGTGGAAAGTGTCGGTGTCTGTTGGTGCCTGCCTGTATCCCCTTTGGAATTATGTTATATTTTATAATATGATTTTGTTTAAAAATATATAGAAATGAATTGTGAATACGTCGTTAGTACTTTTGAATTTTACGAAATGTATGGATATGGATAATAAAAAGTGACTTGAATGTTTATAAACACGAACCCAACATAGGCTAAATCAGTTCTAGCAGGTCACATGGATTAACATTGTCATAGGATTGATATCTTATTTTTTACGAAATTTAGAGGTGAGTTTTAACTTGATTATTAATCAGATATTGCTCGGAATCTAACTGCTTTTAAATTGTTTATTGAACATAAATGTAGAGAGATATCAAGAAAACACTCCACTGCGCAATCATCATTTGCTACCTTAAAATATATACTAGGCGGATTATAAATGAAAACAATAAAATTGGAAAAGAAAAACTCGTGAATGACTCGTGGTCTTAAGCGTGGCAATCAGATTAGACATAACGATGCAACAAGGAGCGTGAAATTTGCTGTCAATCAAAAGCACTTTGATCCATGAAGTGGCAATTTATAAGATGTTCTTTACTATGATATTCCATATTCCCTTGTTTCCCCTTTGCTTAATTTCAATAAAGGGTAGGGTAGGGTGGGGTGGGGTGGGGTGGGAGTAGGGGACATAATGAAAATCTTTGTTGTTAGGTGAAAAATCACTGATGCCTACATATTGAATATGTTATTCTTTAGCAATGGTAATAAACATTCGTCTAGGTGCAGTGGGTCAAAGTCACATTGTTATTCTAACTTTACTTCACTAGGAGATTGATTATTGTTGTATTTCCAATTTGTTGAGAACTCAAGTTTTGCATATAAACTTGAACGTTGCATTCTTGATTTATTATAGCGGATTTGGCCGAAATTGATATGTAGTTTTTTCCTTCTACACTGGAGGGTTTTTTCACGTAAAAATTTAATAATGTGTTCTCTTGTTTCACTTTGATCTTTTACTTGCATATTTAATCACTCTAGTTAATTGTTTTGATTGTTGAATTTATTTTTGCAAGAAGTAGTAATTGTCCAACGTCTACGTGGCAGTGGGTTAAAGTCACATTGTTGAGTGAACAAAAATATATTCTAACTTTACTTCACTGAACAATGTAGTAGCTACTTCGCTGGTACATAGAGTGTTACGCATTACCATAGTTGATCAAGAGCAATACTCCTAAAAATTAGGTAAAATTATGAGGCAATAGATAGCTTAAGCATTAATTTATCTGAAGAATAATGTCATCTTATGTTAAACACCGATGACATGTCATTATGTATGACCTTTTTTACATCTAGACTAGAAAACAATCAAAATTCTAGCACGTAGTTAACATCCAGCTGCTACTTGTTTTGGGGAAATAGCTTTGCCAAGTGTTAGCAATAATGTTGATTGAAATTGATCTCATGTCTTCAATGAGCAGGATAAAAACTTCTCACTACTGAAGTGGTAAGAGAATCATACGTATAGTTCTCTGAGGGGTAGGTAATCATATCTGCAATGTTGATTACGTGACACATTTTATGTATATAAGGGCTAGTTGATGGAGCGGACGGGACAAGCCGATATTTTGAGAATAATTTCGATATTAGGGTTTTATATAAATAACCTATGGTAACTCTATTTGAAGTGAGTAAATTATTGTGTGTTGGATCGCTTAAATTCTTTTGAGTTGATCTTCTTTTCCTTTTGGATTTACTGTTTACTTTTCCAGAAGAAAGAACATATTTATTTCATTTTCCACCGTGAACACAAAGCTGGCAAAAGGACGGACCAATAAAATCTTATAGATTATTTTGGTAATGGCATCTTTAAAAAAACACACATGGATGGACCCCATAGTTTTGATAGCCGTGAAAAATTAAAATACTGTGAAAGAAAATTTATAAGCATCAAAATTGTATGGAATCTCTAGTAGGCAACAAGAACTAGTAAATAATATATGTACATAATAGTGTCCATAATATGATGTGGACAAAATCATATTGTTGACGTGAAAGTGTGAGATTTGAATTAGTGGTTGGATCCAGTGTCACGTGTAATTATGGACATCATTATGTATAGATTTATGTACATGTAATAGTTCTCAATAAGTAAATGTTTAAAACACGACTGGTTAGAGCAACTGTGGTTTCAACACAAAAAAGTACTCACTCCATCCCATTTATATATGTTGATTTTGTTTTTCACACAAATTAAAAATATTATTTAATGTTATTAAAAAATCATTTTTTGCCAAAAATTTTCCCTATTTACCCTTATTTAATTATTAACAACTAGTAGTAATCTGAAAAAAAAAAAAAGAGTTATAACCAAGCAAATCAAATAAGGGTATATTAGTAAATGAACAAAACAAAACATTTTCACTAAGAAAATAAGACTAAATAATTGAGACAAAAAAAAAAGTCGGCCTATATAAATACGACAGATCGATTAATATTTTATTATAATATACTTGTGAAAGAGAAGCTTTTTTAGGAAAAGTAAGAAAGCTACAAGATCATATAGACCAACATTGTAATTCAGTTAGAATTCATAAGCCATCACTAACAATGGTATACAAAGATTCAACAAAATATGTATATTATGGTTTGTTTGGTAAGACATTAGAATTCAAAATTGTAAGACATATTAGGAAACGTTAGATGCAGCAACCCCTGCTGAGTACAAATTAATTCCAGTGGATTGTTGGAATGGGGGTATTGATAGTAGTGGTGATAGGTTTGCGGAGTGGGGGCAATGGTGATGGTTGGTTGGTGGTGGTTTGGGTGGAGATCGTAGGGTGGATTTAGCCATCTCGATATGGCTAGCTGGCTCGGGCTCGGCTCATTTTGGGGCGTCGGCTCGAGCCTAAATTTTTTGGCCGAACTTTTGCTCAACTCGACTCGGGCCAAAAAAAGCTCGCCTAGCCTGAGCAATAAGATTCGACTCGAAGCTTGGCTCGTTGACATCCTTAGGTGGATTGGGTTGGATTGGTTGAAAAATATTACCTTTTTGCTTTTTGCTATTTAGTTACTGTTTGTTTCACATTCTTTTAAAATAGATCGTGGGCTATTTTCAAGAACCCGTCTTATTCTTTCCCCTCTGTTCAATAGCCGACAAGAATCAAGAATTCCAATATTGAGAAACACACAGTTTTTATATCCCAGAAGGACAAAAAAGTGAGCAGTTTTCTTTGGGAATTTATTTTAAGAATTATTCTACTCTACCAGATTTTGGTTCACAGATTTTGTACAGACTATCTCACATGAGGTGGGTCCCGAGGACCTAACTCATTAGAAAAACCCCCCAAAAATGTTAAAACACCCACCCACCCTATCTCACATGGCTGTGCCAGGTCTTTTACAGACCTGGCACAGCAGCACAACTCTATAAATAAAAAAGCTGGCAAAAGGACGGACCAATAAAATCTTATAGATTATTTTGGTAATGGCATCTTTAAAAAAACACACATGGATGGACCCCATAGTTTTGATAGCCGTGAAAAATTAAAATAATGTGAAAGAAAATTTATAAGCATCAAAATTGTATGGAATCTCTAGTAGGCAACAAGAACTAGTAAATAATATATGTACATAATAGTGTCCATAATGTGATGTGGACAAAATCATATTGTTGACGTGAAAGTGTGAGATTTGAATTAGTGATTGGATCCAGTGTCACGTGTAATTATGGACACCATTATGTATAAATTTATGTACATGTAGTACTTCTCAATAAATAAATGTTTAAAACACAGCTAGTTAGAGCAACTGTGCTTTCAACACAAAAAAGTACTCACCCCGTCCCATTTATATATGTTGATTTTGTTTTTTACACAGATTAAAAAATATTATTTAATGTTATTAAAAAATCATTTTTTCCCTAAAAAAAAAAATTTCCTAATTCACCCTTATTTAATTATTAACAATTAGTAGTAAATTGAAAAAAAATGAGTTATAACCAGGCAAATCAAATAAGGGTATATTAGTAAATGAACAAAACGAAACATTTTCAATAAAGAAGCAAGACTAAATAATTGAGACAAGAAAATAAGGAAAGCCAGCCTATATAAATAGGATAGATGGATTAATATTTTATTATAATATACTTGTGAAAGAGAAGCTTTTTTAGGAAAAGTAAGAAAGCTACAAGATCATATAGACCAACATTGTAATTCAGTTAGAACTCATAAGCCATCACTAACAATGGTATACAAAGATTCAACATAATATGTATATTATGGTTTGTTTGGTAAGACATTAGAAATTCAAAATTGTAAGACATCTTAGGAAACGTTAGATGCAGCACCACCTGCTGAAGACAAATTAATTCCAGTGGATTGTTGGAATGGGGGTATTGGTAGTAGTGGTGATAGGTTTGCGGGGTGGGGGCAATGGTGATGGTTGGTTGGTGGTGGTTTGGGTGGAGATCGTAGGGTGGATTTAGCCATGTCAATATGGCTCGCTAGCTCGGGCTCGGCCCATTTTGGGGCATCGGCTCGAGCCTCGAGGCTGGCTCGTGAAGGTTAAAAAAAAAAAAAGTTTAAAGCTGTAATTTTTTTATAGGTTAATATTTAGTTATTATTTATAATATGTATAAATTGCACAAATTTTAAGTTTTTTAAAAAAATTTAGGTTTATCATGAATTAAAAGGGGCGCGGGGGGGGGGGGGGGGGGGGGGGGGGAGTCTAGCCTAAATTTTTTGGCCGAACTTTTGCTCAACTCGACTCGGGCCAAAAAAAGCTCGCCTACCCCGAGCAAAAAGATTTGACTCGCGGTTCAGCTCGTTGACACCCCTAGGTGGACTGGGTTGAAGAAGATTACCTTTTTGCTATTTGGTTACTGTTTGTCTCACGTTCTTTTAAAATAGATCGTGGGCTATTCTTTTCCCTCTGTTCAATAGCCGACAAGAATCAAGAATTCTAGTATTGAGAAACACGCCATTTTTATGGCCCAGAAGGAAAAAAAAGTGAGCAGTTTTCTTTGGGAATTTATTTTAAATGGATTGACCGCACAAATTCGAATACCCAAATAGAAAAATCAAGAAATATATACTTCTTAAGTTACATAATTTTAAAACAACTTATTAATGACCCTAAAAAATGGACTCAGATAATTAACAATTAAGTTCTGTATTTAGCAACATAAAATAATCATTAATCGACCAAACATCAAAACCCTTAAAGGAGTATATCCATCAAAACTTCCAAATCTTGTTGAAATTGACCCCTACAAACTAGCTTTCATGGAAAGTGAACTTGAAGCACTGCTCCTTGGGTTAAGGTATGACCTATTTTGGTTTATATATATATAAAAAAAAAAAAGTTGAACCCCCGCCCCGCCCCGCCCCGCCCCTAGAGTATCGTGGATGAGGAAAATCGCAAGATGTGTCTCACCAGGTCAGGATACAAGAGCTGCCATACTGGTGCGCACAAAGAGTCAAATTCCATACTTTGTAAGAGGCAAGAATCGAACCCCCACACTGTGACTGCCAACTTAATTGAGACTACTTCACTCCTGCCCTTTGCACCACTGAACAGTGCCTCGAGGGGCGACATATTTTGGTTTATAGATTGCATAAATCAGTGTCTTAGGCAAACTATTGAAGAAAATGGAAAAGTAACAAACTCTTTTTTTCGTCTTCTTTGACCTCCTCTTTTTCCTTCTTTTTGGATCCTGTGGTTGTCACTACATTACTTGACATTCTCACGAAATATGTGAATAAAAATTGATTTGACCGATTATGAACAATTTATAAATCGTAGTTAAACAAGAATGAATTTTATTCTCAATAAATTTATGATAAGATTTATGAATTATTCTGCATTATTTTGATATTTTGTTCATTATTAGACCACAAGATATGCAGGAAAAAAGGTAAATTCTTTGACATCTACCATATTGCCACTGTAAAGGTAAAATGTGCTCGTGCAAGTTGTATGTGTTACGAATTTTCATTGTCTTTTCACATGTCTAGGAGGCATCGAATAATCTACATTGTTATTCTTGTTTTCTACTTATTTACGCTGTTATCAGATTAATGAAGTATGAGATTCATAATAACTGATGAAAGTAACAATTCCTTATTACATGCTATATTATGACACACATAATTTATTGTCTGTCACCAGTTGATCATTTCTAGCCAAGATTAAATTGTAGCTAATTGTTGGACAATTTTTAAATAATGTCAGTTTTTGACATTATAAGATGCGTTAAAGAGTTATCACGAATAAATGATCATTCGAAGAAAGTTTTAAGTTGTGGAAGACGTAAGATTGGACAATTTTTAAATATTGTCAGTTTTTGACATTATCAGATGCGTTGAAGAGTTATCACGAATAAATGATCATTCGAAGAAAGTTTTAAGTTGTGTAAGACATAAGAGGGCTTTCCGGTGGCCACCCAATGCATCTGAGCAACCGGGCAGTGGCTGCCCTGCAGATTAGAATATGTGCTTTCGGACTTGGTCACGCTTATACCCGTTTGATGGTCACTTTTACTCGTATTCAGTTATGTAACTGACGATTTTGAGTAGTTGTGACTTATATAAAAAGTTGTACCTCTTGAGTACGTTTGTTTAACAATCTATAAATAAGAATATTGATTTCTAGTTAATATATATGAAAATATAGAATTCTCCTCATCTTCTCCCCGTGTAACATATTTTCATGCATACTTGCATTTCGTCTCTTTAGAAACTTTGTTTGTGTTCTGCAATCCGGAAATACAGAACACGCGCTTTCCTATATAGGCTTCTTGTCTCCCTTAAGTTCGGAATTGTCTTAATTAGTGCAAGGCACAAACAACTTATTCGGGTTCAATTGTGTTTTAGAGGCATTTTGCTTATCCTTGTGTATCTCCGGTACTGGAGGCAAATATCGTCTTAAAGAAAGGGCAAACAAGTGCTTTGGAGCCAAGTTTTTTAATCTCAAGTTTATCGACTCTTTGCCCGGCCACTGTGAAGATAGTTCCGAAACTAATCATACATCTAATCTCTTTTTAATGTCACAATCAATTAAGGAATCCCTTTAAGTACTACGTGGAGAGAACAATATCTATAGGATTAGCACTTTCTTTATGCTTTCCACCAAACAAAATCACAACTCTTTTTTTGTGTTCAGCTTATGTATACTCTTATTCTCGTATTACAGAACTAGAATAATTATTGACTTAAATTACATAGATCGACTTTAATTTGAACGAAGGAAAAGAGAGCGAATTTAATTCCAAAATCTCAATCGGAAAAAGATAAAAGTTTTCCATTGAAATGTTGATTAACAGCATGAATTCGTTAGAGATTCTTTTCTGATTTTATAGGACAGCATTGCCGACGCAGTTGGCATATAATTTGACAGTAGAAATAGAAATGTAATCTTAAAAGGTTTGAAGACAGAGAATGTTAATGGGGCCGAAGAAGATAGATAGAAACTTTACTTTTGATGAATTGACTCTCTCTGACAAGTAATACCAACCTTAAACCAGGAACTTGTCTCAAATGTATCAATTTTTTTTGTTGCTGAATCTGATGCTTTGCTTACTATCTTACTTTCTCTGTGGGTGGGCTGTTACTGGTTTCTAATGAATTGTTAGAATATATATAAGAGCATGCATGGGACATTTTATCATTGAGTTTGGTTGTACTTTTATAAACAATGGCAAACCAACAGCCTCGTCCACCATGGTTTCGGTTTCCTTTCATGTTTCGCACAGCAAGTCCAGCACCTGCAGCACCAGTCACACAACCATCGGCTCCTCGTGCACCATCTTCACCCCAGCCACAGCCAGCTTTGGTGAGACCAGCCCCACCACCTGTTGCATCTCCTCCTGCAGCACCAATCATACGACCACCTGCTCCTCGCACAGCACCTCCACCCCAGCTACAGCCAACATTGGTGAGACCTGCCCCACCACCCGTTGCATCTCCTCCTCCTGCTGTTACTCCTGCAGCCAGGCCCCAAACAGCAACTCCTACACCAAGGTCCCCAGTTGCACCGACTTCTGCTCCACCAAGATCACCAGTTCCACCACCGCCAGCACCTGTTGCATCTCCTCCTCCCGCTGTTGCACCAGCTGCAACCCCGGCCCCACTGCCACCTTCTATTTCCAGATCCCCAGTTGCATCGTCAACTGCATCCCCTCCAGCAGTATCACCAACAAAATACCCAATTGTCAAAACTTCAGTTTCACAGCCACCCTCTCCTTCCCCAGAAGAATCACAGAGAACTTCCACAAATATTCCATTCTTGTCTTCAATACCTGCGTCTCCCAAAACAAAAGATCAAGTTCCTTCCCCTTCAAAGCCAACTCCTGTGGTGCAAAAGTCCATGCTACATTCCCCCACGCCTACTGCTAGAAAAGCCTCTGCAACTGGATCACCTCCAGAAGTAGCCAAGGAAAGAACCCCAGTCCAATCTACCCCAATCAAGCCTGTATCTCGCCCTCCATCTCGTTTAACACCAACTTTACCTCAAACAAAAACAGCTACTGACCATGAACCAAAGATAACTGTTATTTCCAATGGAAAACGAGAACCAACAAAAGACAAAGGTCTTCATAAAAAACTTTCCGAGTCCGAACAGTACCAAACGAGGGTAATAACACTTGCTGGCCAAAACAAAGGGGCTGTGATGGAATTGAGTGCCTCTGGCCCTCAAAGTCTTGACAAGAATGGAAAAATTAAAACGTGGAGAAATGGTGAGAAATCAAGCAGTGTGGAAGGAAAATCTGTGGAGGACAAAACTTGTGACGAAATGGTTATGGAATCACCACAAATGACTGCATTCTTGAACAGCAATGTTCAAGGAATAAACAACTCCATTTTCCACAATTGTTCTTCAACTCACAATGATCCTGGAATCCACCTCTCTTTCTCGAGAAAGAAAGATCAACGGGATTAACCTCAAGGACCAGCTTGGCTAATAAATTGAATCGGCATCCCTTCCTTTTCGGATTAAAATTGTCACAGCATTATGTAATAAAGTAAACTAGAATAGTAATATATTGAGTGATGGAAAATGAGAAAAAAGGAAAAGGCTATGGAGTCTGATTCTCCAGTTTGCAATCCACTTACCGTTTAGTATACTGAGAGGAATATAAATCATCCAGAATTAATAAAATTTCCCTGTTATAGAGCAGTAGTGAATGGTACTAGTTTCAGAGTGATTAAAGCTAATGTTTGGATATGTATCTGTAGGCTAGCAAATATCATTGTAACAGCTACCAAGTTTTTTTTATAATGCATTGATGAATGAATATTACAAATTACTATTTGAAATTTCTTCTGAAATTCAATTTTGTTGTCTCCAACTTTATCAATAATAAATTCATAACAAAATTACATTTTGGAGGACTAAGAAAAAATAATTATAAAAAATACAAGCTCTTTTTAAGACATTTTATTTCCATCATCAGCTCTCTGTACAGTCTTTATTAACATATGGGCCAAAACAATCAAATCCATTATGTGAGGCCCAAATTCCATTTTTCCCTTGGCAGTTATTTATTTTTCTAGACCCATCAATTAGAGTATATATGCTAAGGCAATCTACAGTATAAACAGCAAGGTGAATACATCAGAATCTGACAGCAACATTGTTCCATTTCATGACAAACTTAACTTATTTACTAAATTTTTATATTCCTGGTTGTAGTTCAAAAATATGCATACTTCATAGAAAAATTGCATCACACACCCAAAACCAATATCTATTAAATTAGGATACTACCGTTTAAGGTTATTGTTGGGTTTTTATACCCAATAAATCTGGACGATGATGTTAAGTCGATTTTTTTGGATTATACTTCATGGGCCTCGGTCGATAAGTAAAGTGAAATATCGACACTACAATTGTTCCTTTTCCCTCTTCGTTATAGAACTTAGGCACACGGTTCATTTCGATTGATCTTTATTCATGTTTTACTAAAGCTTAATTGGTTCTCGTGCATTGTGGTCTCCCAATTTGCATAATGATAATTATTTTTCCTGGATATCTTACAAGACTAGCTTAACTCTAGTCGTAAACTTAATAATTTACGATACCTTTAGTGGAAAGTATAAAATTTAATTTAAGAATTTACTTCCAGACTTATTTAATTCTGAACAACATCATTTCAATACTAGAACCCAATAAAAAACATGTTTTAGAAAGATTCCCATGCATGTATCCATTTACTGAC